CTAATAGCTAGTACGTTGCAAGCACAGCGTATTTTATTTATTTACTAATAGCTAGTACGTTGCAACCACAGCGTGTTTTATTTATTCATTTACTAATAGCTAGTACGTTGCAAGCACAGTGTGTTTTATTTATTTACTAACAGCTAGTACGTTGCAAGCACATTGTGTTTTATTTATTTACTAATAGCTAGTAAGTTGCAAGTACGGCGTATTTTATTTATTTACTAATAGCTAGTACGTTGCAAGCACAGCGTATTTTATTTATTTACTAATAGCTAGTACGTTGCAAGCACAGCGTATTTTATTTATTTACTAATAGCTAGTACGTTGCAAGCACAGCGTATTTTATTTATTTACTAATAGCTAGTACGTTGCAAGCACAGCGTATTTTATTTATTTACTAATAGCTAGTACGTTGCAAGCACAGCGTATTTTATTTATTTATTTACTAATAGCTAGTACGTTGCAAGCACAGCGTATTTTATTTATTTACTAATAGCTAGTACGTTGCAAGCCCAGCGTATTTTATTTATTTATTTACTAATAGCTAGTACGTTGTAAGCATAGCGTATTTTATTTATTTACTAATAGCTAGTACGCTACTACAGCGTGTTTTATTTATTTATTTACAAATAGCTTGTACGTTCCAAAAATCGATGAAAGTCAACACGTCGTGCGGGGAATATTGTGTTGTATCAAACATATAATTTACAGACTGTGCAGATGGAGTTGAGCTGCATGTTGAGTCCATTTCTTTTCATTATATATAAATTAACTTAACACCACGTTATTGAATTCGGGCAATATTTGTACTCAAATTACAAAAGTGGTCGTATGAGCGACCAAATCTTCACAAATTGTATTCATTCATGTTCAGTGAGTCACACTTAGCAACATATAACTTGTCAATACGTTAAAGAAACCTTCAAGCCACACCAAGAATGTATGTTATACTGTACAGTTGTTATGCAAGATGAGCCAATGCCAACCAAGAGCAATAAAATAATGTTTAGTTTAGTGAATCAATTAATGTTATATTTATTACATAACATCATGATACCTGTATAAGCTTCTTAGCGGCGCGTTATACTAATACAGAGTTACTAAGTAAGTTATGATTTACTAAATAGGTGAGAAAAATGGATGCCATAACTTATCAATTGCTTCATCTCAAGTTTTTAAAATATGAATTGAACTAATGTGCGCGCAGTACCTCCGTTTAAACAGATGTGTTCCCTAATTTTTAAATTATGGTTTCCACGAACACTTGTCTACCTATTGCTTGCTTCGCCTCCATTTCCAAACAATATTTTCACGAACAGTTTTTGACTCCCGCTCGCCCGTAAAAATACAATTGTTCGAGTACAACTACGAACATATATGCATATATACACATTAATATTATATAAACCAAGATTTTGTTTGATTTTTATATTGTACATTTTTGGTTCATTTAGTATCTGCATTTTGTGATACATGTACATATATTCCGTAATTCTAGGGAACATAGATTTAGACCGACTCAATTTAACCTATTATTTATAGATTGCAGCAAATTATACCCTATGAAGGGTATATCTGATCACTGGACGATTGATTGGAATGTCAGTATATATGTTAAAGTTATTTACTTACAATTGTGCCATCACGCGGAACAACCCAGTCATATCGCCATAATTTGTATTGCCCACACACTGCCAGTGGTTTCGACAACATGCCAGTTATACCGCCCCCAACAGCTGGAGAAAAGAAAAATAAGAACCATGTACGTTATCAAACATATATAAGCTAAGAGTAGGCTGTGATATCATAAACAATCGTCGAACACAATATTTCACTCTCCACAGCTAGCAAACGACATATTGGAGCAACTGACAGTACTACTTACATTGAGTTCCTTCGCCGGAGCTAACTGTAAATTCAAGAGGTTCGAGCACATTGTCAGCTCCCTCAGTGACAACAATGCAACATAACTGATAGTGACCAATGTCACTTGTGCCACGGAACCCCAGTACTGGACCCATGACAAATCGATGGGGAAGAAACTATGGGAATATAATGCATCCAAAAATGAAAATAGCAAACTTAGGACATTTGCCAAATTGAAGGAGTACATTTCTGAGCCTTATTTATCTATACTCAATATATTAAAAGAAAGAAACACAATGATACATACATTAGAAATAGAGAATGAGTGACATACCCAACCCAAAACATCTCTAGAAATGAGAATATGTTAATATTGTATATAAGGAAAGATTTAAATGAACAACATTTCTTCAAAAATTTAACTTAGAAAAAGTAGAAAATTATCATTATTATTGTTGTATGAAAAAATACACTGACCGCGTCTTCTATTTTTAAAAACCTCTCAGCGGTAAGTGACATGGAACCGTGATGCCAATATCCGTATGTACCCGGGCCGTTGAAATATATTATATTTCTTTTGGAGTCTCGAATTGCAATACTGCCAATCAACCAACCATCCACAAACCGTGTATGGTCCAATCCTATGAGGAAAAAAACAACATGTGACCAAAATATCGCTGTACGCAACGAGCCCCTGGCAAGCTGTTTTGATATAATTCGACCTTTTTTATTTTAGTTGGGCTCCACAGTTTTACGATTTTTAGGCCGGAAACCGCTTACGTCTTGCGAAAACAGGTTTAGCACTATTAAGCAATATTAATGTTTAAAATAGTGAATTTTCGTTAGTATTAGTCAACAGTAGTTCGGACGCGTGTCAACAAATTATGCACAAATTTTTTCGACAGTATTTTCATCTATTCTACGAGCTAGATTTGGGGGCAGTTTGTTATTTTTTTTAAAAAGATATGGTTTTTTTTTATTTTCGGAATATAATTATGTTTGATGCTACTGTTTAGATATAAACAGATCGAAATATTTGGTGATTTTCACACAAAAACCACCAGGAAACCTCGATTATGAGCCATTTACCATTAGATTCCAAGTTGAAAGATTTCACAATATCTAACTTTCTGTCGACTACATTTTCACTCTATGTTACCATGCACGAGGTTATATATTATCAGTAGGTATCAATGATATATATATTGCACACACATATCACACATTTGTTCATATAAGAAACAACGTGACAATAAATAGTACATTGTTGTTTGCGTCAATACATTGGCTATGCAATAATAACTTTTAAACCCCAAAGAAGCATTTAAAAACAATAGAAAATGAATAAAAATGTGCAAAATTTTGTAATCACAATTTGACCAGAGACAATTATGGCCCTCCATTTAAGGGGTAATAACGGATGACTTGTAAATTGGCGTTCGTCTCCAGATGTGAGCATTGTACTATGAACACTGCTTTTATAAAGACGCTAAAAGTGTGAATGACTGCTTTAAAAGATGGCCGAATACAGAACAGGGTGTGTCAACTTAGTGTATAACTCACACAATATCACTGAATACACTAAGGACGGACGTACCTATTTCTATTTTATTCACACGATTCAAACTAAACGATTTCGGTACTCTGATTGTGAATGTTTGTCTTCCTTTGTCTTCCAAGTTGTTTTTGTTGTGACCATTCGCCAACCAAAACTCTGATGATTCTTCTTTTTCCCATTTCCGAAAAAGTGGCGATCGCACCCAGCCAGGTTTATACTGAAACATTGAAAGATAACAGGAAACGCTTAGCATGTCACATCTATTATTACAATAAAATACAACTTTTCTGCGTGGGATACCTTAATTAATTGGACGTTAAGGTCATTTTATTTATGTTTACAAATCAAAAACAAACTGTGTTTACATTGTGGATATATGTTTTGTAGTCATGCGGGCTCATGTGTATAAGTACGCAATACAATACGCAGATAAATAAACAAATAAACAAACAAATAAACAAATAAATAAATAAATAAATGAATGAATGGATACTCTTCTCAAAAAGAAAAGTAAGTAAATTGTCAGAAGTACATAATTTAGGTCATCTGTTTCCAAAAATTTCAATAATCGGAATTTCACCCAACTTTATAAATATATTTGGTATATTTAGGTATTTTCCAAGCTTTAGTTATTTCAACATTTCTTTGACCAGTATTTTTGTGAATGCAAGACCGTCTCTTGAAAGATTATTTCACCGTTAAGAGCTGCATGGATTACACTGAATTCGTTTTTCCAAGTTTGCGTGCCCAGAAATATAAAACATATAAATGTAGTTGGAAACTTCCAGGTAACATTTTATGACTTTCTGTTAACTTCAAGAGAATACTTAATAATGTTTGTAATACCGGCCAAGCATCAGCATTATTATTAAAATGTGTATACCGGCCAAATGATTGACAGCGCGAGTAGCCAATAAGCGACCGTGTTGCAGCTGGCGATTTCTTGCATTAATATAGGACTTTTGGCAAGTTGTGTAATTTTGGGGCACGAACTGGGAGGCTGTTCACGACTAGTTCATGCATAGTACATGACGAGTTCACGACCCGGTCGCTAAATTTATAAGTCGATAAAACAGCACAAACTGAACAACAACACTTATATACTAGTATGTTGCCCATGTAGGGATAGTCTTGTTGCACTGTTTAGAGGAGTCTCGACAACTAACCCAAAATACAAGTAGATTTTGGCCTTTGTTTTCATCGGTGGTGGTGGCCAGGCGGCAATGATTGCCATCCTTTGAAAAGGCATTGGCGTCTGCCCCAGAATACTGGAAGGACTCATGGTCGCGTGATAGTTACGGCATTCGATTGTCAATTCAATTTGCCATAGCCGTGGTAAAAAAATACTCAAATTAAGGTCACATGACAGTTAAAAACTATTTACACCCAGTTGTTGTAGACATAGAATGTTGTTAGTCAGCAGGAGATTGAGCTTTTTACCAATTAAACAATATCATGTATTCGCAACGTTATCACTCTCGGTCCAATTTACCATAACGTTATCACATTGGTATACCT